CCCCACGGCGCCGGCGGATGCTAGACGCCATTACTTCCCGCGCGCGGCGGATGCTAGACGCCATACTTCCCCCGGCGCGCGCGGAATGCTAGACGCGCATACTTCAAGCCGCGCGCGGCGGGATGCTTAGACGCGCATACTTCCCGCGCGCGGCGCATGGACTAGGGACGCCATACTTCCCCTGGCGCGCGGCGGATGCATGAAACGCCATACTTCCCGCCGCGCGGCGGATGCTAGACGCCATACTTTTGCCCGCTGGAGCGGATGCGTAGACGCCATACTTGCCCGTGCGTGGCGGATGCTAGACGGATACTCCGCCGCGGCGGATGCTAGACGCCATACTTCCCCGGCGCGCGGCGGATGCTAGACGCCATACTTCCCCAACGCGCGGCGGATGCTAGACGCCATACTTTCCCGCCGGGAGCGCGCGGTGGGAGTGAGGCTAAGACGCACATAGCGTTCCCCCGCGGCCGCGGCGGATGCTAGACGCCATACTTCCCCGCGCGCGGCGGATGCTAGACGCCATACATTCCCCGCGCGGCGCGGCGGGATGCTAGACGCATACTTCCGCGCGGCGCGGCGGATGCTAGACGGCCATACTATCGCGGCCGCGGCGGATGCTAGACGCCCATACGGTCCCGTTGAGCGCGGGCGGATGTAGACGCCATAGCTATCCCCGCTTGGCGATAGCTAGACGCCATACTTCCCCCGCACGCCGGCGGATTTGTGACGCCATACTCGCGCCGCGGGCGGATGCTATACGGGCATACTTCCGCGCGCAGGGGCGAGGGTGCTAGACGCCATACTTCCGCGCGCGGCGCATGCTAGACGCATAACTTCCCTGCGCAGCCGGCGCGATGCTAGACGCCATACTTCCAGCGCGCGGCAGGATGCTAAGACGCCATATCGCGGCGCGCGGCGGATGCTAGCGCGGCATTCTTCCCCTACCGCGCGGCGGAATGCTAGACCATACGTTCCCCCGCCGCGGAGGATTGCTAGCGCATTACTTTGGCCGGTGGGGATGCGTAGACGCCCATTACTTCTCACCGGGTGCGTGGCGGGGCAAGAGATGCTAGACGCGAGCATACTTCGCCGCGCGCGGGCAGATGCTAGACGCCATACTTCGACGGCGCGCGGCGGATTGCAGACGCCATGACTTCCCGACCGCGCGGGGGTGGAGAATGCCTAGAAAGCGCGAACATACTTCCCCCGCGCGCGGCGGATGCTAGACGCCATACTTCCCGCGCGCGGCGGATGCTAGACGCCATACTTCCCGCGCGCGGCGGATGCTAGACCGCCATACTTCCCCCTGCAGCGCGAGATCGCGCGGATGCTAGACGCCTTACTTCCCCCACCGGCGCGCTGCCCGCCGGGGAGCTTAGACGCCATACTTTTTGTTGTGCCGGCGCGCCGGGAGGATGTGCTAGACGCCTACTTCCCACTGGCGCGCGGCGGGATGCATAAGACGCCATACTTCCCCGCGCGCGCGGGAATTGCCTAGACGCCATACTTCCCCCGCGCGGCGGATGCTAGACGCCATACTTCCCGCGCGCGGGCGAGAATGCTAGGGCGGGCAGAAGACATGACTTCCCCCGCGCAGGCGGGAGTAGAGCGAGATTGCTAGACGCCATATTCCGCGCTGCGGCGGATGGCTAGACGCCATACTCCCGCGCGGCGTGGGGACGGGGAAGATGCTAGACGCCATACTTCCGAGGCGCGCTGCGGGAAGAGTGCATAGACCGCATACTATCCCCCGCGCGGCGGGATGTAGCGCCATACTCCCCCCCGCGGCCCCCCCCCACTCCCGGGCGCGCGGCGGATGCTAACGCCATACTTCCCCCGCTGCCGCGCGGATGCCAGGACGCGACATACTTCCCCCCGCGCGCGGCGGGGGAGGATATGCTAGACGCCATTACTTCCCGATGGCGCGCGGCAGGGATGCTAGACGCCATACTTCCCGTATGGCGCGGCGGAGAAGGATATGCTAGACGCTACTTCCCGGCGCGGGACGGGAGATGTAGACGCATACTTCCCCCATGCGCGGAGCGGAGGGATGCTAGACGCCATTGAACTGATCGAGCAGCGGCGCGGCGGATGCTAGACGCCATACTTCCCCCGCGCGCGGCGGATGCTAGACGCCCATACGTTCCCCATTGAGATAGGCGCGCGCGTGCTGAAGACGCGCATAGCTTGCCCGCGCGCGGACGGGAGGGGAGGGAGAGTATGCAGACGCCATACTTCCCGCGCGCGGGCGGATGCTAGACGCCATGACTTCCCCGCAGCGCGGCGGGATGCTAGACGGCCAATTGAGCTTCCCCGCGCGCGGGCGGATGCTAGACAGCAATACTTCGCGAAGCGCGCGGCGGATGCTAGACGCTAGCTATACTTCCCCCGAATGCGCGGCGATATGCTTAGACGCCATACTTCCGGCGCGCGCGCGGCGGTGCTAGACGCACATACTTCCCCAGCGCGCGGGCGGGGGAGGATGCTAGACGCATACTTTGCCGAGAGAGGCGCGCGAGCGGGGGGATTCTAGACGCCATAACGTTTCCCGGGGCGCAGCGAGCGGAGGCGGAGAGAGATGCTAAAGACGCCATACTTCCCGCGCAGGAGGAGAGAGGAGAGGAGAGGAAGAGATTAGTGCTGCACGTACGTAATCTGCTTGGTCGCGCTGTAGAGTGAATGAAGAGATTGAGTAGTAGGCGCGGCAGGGAAGCGACAAGCACAGCGACGACAGCTGATGTAGACCATAGCACCACTGATGTCGGAATGCTCGTCGATGTCCCATGTGCCACCGTGCGCCATGTAGGCAGTCGGTAGCTCTGTCGCGGGGTCTCCACTCACGCCGCCGTTATGCGCTCCCAGCGCTGTGCAGACGCCGTCAATGCGGGGACTCACCCCCTGCTGTGGGCTTGAATCTCTGCAGCCCCCAGTTCCTTCAGGGTATAGTGGGTTTCTCAATCTTTATCGCGCTTCGCATCGGAAGCTGGTATGGCTTCCTCGCGATGCTGCTGCTTGCCAGCGTAATGGGAAAGATAAGGATCTGATTGTCGTCGAGGTGGATGTTCGCAATGCCATAGTGCGGAGGCAGAAATATGACAAGCACCTCCAAAGCACGATCCCAACACCAGGCCCATCCCCCCGTGGCATCGCGCGCGATGTGGATTGCTGTCGGAAGGAACTGAACGCTTGCGGATGCTGCGGACCTCAGTATATCCCGGCGAGGGCGTGCATTGCCGGTGTGCGCCTGACCACAGCACATGACGGCGTCCGCCGATGTGTTCACGTAACGTCAATCGTCGACTGCCAGTCTTATGGAAAGTTGCGGCGCACTCACGACAGCGCCGAAAAGTACGTGCAACGAATGCCTGGATACATAGAGTCACCTCCGCCGAGAGGGAGCGAGAGAAGACCGGGGCAGGAGCGAGGAGGCGGAGAGGGAGGAGCCGAGAAGAAGAGAGATGAATGGTCGGCGGTTGCCATCTAGAGCGACATTCATGACACTTAAATATACGCCAGTGTAATCTCCCCCCCTTAATCCATTATATATGATATCATAATAAACTCACAAACACACAAACTTAATTTTGAGGCTGGCGAAGATACAGAAAAAAATAAGAATAAAAATCATGGTTTCAGCGTCCGTTTTATCAGACTAACAATACAGCTCTCCAACCTTTATAGCACGGCAGATGGATAGCAGGTCAGGTAATAAAGTAGAGGTTAATAGACTTTCATTTGATTTTTTAAGTGGACCCATGGTATCCGATGTACAGTAGTTATGCAATAACAACTTCCACAGTAACAGCCTAGCATAGATAGCATATAAATTGACAATTATGAGGAGAATAAATTTTACAACTATCGATAGTAAAACGTAAATTTTATATATATAAATACATTCAATAACGGTAATTGCCATTTCATCTGGCATCCGCGTGTCAATCCGCAGTTAAGAAACACAATGAATATTAGTTCTAAAGTCTGTGACGTCACAGCCCCCTGTTGAAAACACTGCCATTATGTAACATAGTTGCGTGTGGTGTATTTAAGATGGAGACAGGAGAGAGGATAATTTCAATGATTCTAGGTGATTACTCAGATGAGATGATATTATATATTGACTTTACCAGTTGGATGTATAGTGTTTGAGCCTAAATAATGACACAAAGTTAAGAAAAATTGAGGAGAATCGTCTGAAAAAGCCAACGCGGAGACGTCGGCACACACTTCTGCGAGAATTCAGGAGCAGTCACATTCATGGGAGGAACTGCGAAGCTTCGGCAAGGTAACCAGATAGACTGTAGAACAAATACTGGTGTTGCTTGTAAGTGTTTGGTGAATTAATGGAGTCGGCACCTGAATGTATTATGGCTGCATGAGAGATGAAAGACAGGGTTATTGTAGACCAGTTCAACGAGACCAGGTGAGGCATGCGAGCTACACTGTATCACCGCGCTTATCACGCTCGTCGGTCAGAAATTCGACGATGTATCTGGTACTTGTACAAACATCTCTACGCAAGTCATGACATGTATATGTATGTACCATGAATATAAGTACATTATACAGGCTACATGTTTGTTGTGATGCTGTTAACAATACTTTCACCTTAGCCATAACATATACTTGATGGTGGCGTGTTAGCCAGCTGTTTACGCTAATGCGTGTTTCAACATGGGGCTGTGACGTCACATGACCTAGATTAATATTCATGTGTTTCTTACAAATTGGGTGCCAGATTTGAAATGGAATACGTTATTGAATGTATTTCTATGTATAAAAACGTTACAGAAGTTATAAAATTTGACTTCAATTGTCCTTTAAATAGCAATTACTACCATATTAAGGAGTGTTTGTCAACCAAAAAGTCTCATAATGCATTGAAACCTGCACTTTTCCAAATGTGAAATTAGCTCATTATTAGATAACCATTATCAGGACATAATTGGAACGATAAATGAAGAAGATCTAGTATTCTAAAAAGGCACCACGTGTTATTGCTTACCTTCTTGATTAAGAGCTTCTGCACTAATGGTGAGCGTGTGAAACATGGTCCAGAGCCCACAGGGGTAATTTCGGAACTGTGGCTTACTACCCAGGCAGCCAACCCACCTGACCGTAGGTGGTAGGTATGCATCTGGATTCTACAACATGATCTATATTAATCTACCCATCCATGCATCAACCCTGTCACAGGGTGCGAAATTAACGGGAGTCCGGAGTCAAATACTCCCTGATTTACTGTCAAACTCCCTGAAAATTCTCCAATACTAACTAGTTCGTTCCATAGCACGGCCTCGCGGAATTACTGTATTTTTTCAGCAAATGTCCAGACCCAATTTGGCAGACGTGCAACCGCATGAATCTTCAAAATAAGCACACGCGTTATTGTTAATATCTTTAGTTTTGAACGTCAGGCTGCGGACTCCCTCATATTGCTGCAGACTCCCTTGTTCAAAAGTTAATTTCTACCCCTGCTGTCTGTGTCAGCTCCAATCTCCCTTTCTGTCAGCCTCTCTCATTAGCACTCTCCCCCTGTTTTTCCCTCCATTATTCAATCTATCTCTTTCTCCCTCATAGTTGTTAGCATGACAGCTGTACATACCTGTTCTCTGATGAAAGCAACAAGCTCAGCTGGATCAAGCTCCTCTTCAGCTAAGTGAAGCCAGTCTAGGAGACGTTGAATAAAGTTAAGCACGTGTGGCTGTCCTGGAAAGTACTGAAGAAAACATGTCAAGGCATTATTAACTACAGCCATATCGTGCTGCCATCTATGTACCAACCCCGACTAAACCCAGCTTTATCTGTATTTGTAATGTACAAACACTTAAATAGTAGCCACCGTATTTACCTTCACTCACAGTAAGACATGATACGGTTCCATCAGCTATTCAACAACTACAATATTTAAATAATTATGGTTTACACACACAATTACTACATGATTGATGTAGGGAAATTTCAATTTCCGCTTTACCAATATAAAAAGCAATAATAGTTTTTCTGAGCATATATTATAAACTATGCAATAGATGATTATATATATATACACTCAAGCTTTTGAAGGGGTACTAATAAGAAGTGCATGTTTACTATATAAGGAATCCAATGAACTACATGTTTAATTTGTACATGAGATGTCTCTCAACGCTCAAGTTGAGAAATTTCTTGAAATATTCTGTACTTAGGCCTAATTATGTGACAAAAATTTCGAATTTTAATGTAAATATGGTATTTTAGATATTTCTCAATTACCATAAACAATGTAAAAGCAAACAACTTTTGCTACAAGTTATGCAGTTATATTTACTGAAATGAAAGTGTCAATGAGACTGTAGCTCACCACAAAAAGGACACAAATGAGTGAGTGAGAAGAAGTCAGTTTTAATTGAGCAACCATCGACGTACATTATAGAAACATAGAGTATATATGGGAGAACTCCCATTATATACTCTTGATAATTATATGTGTAATTTTTTATGTGAAAATAATAAATAATATTATATATAAATTACAAATAATTTATAAACCAAAATGAATCACAATTTGTGAGGGTAGACGGCGCTATACCCGCTTTGATGTTTCTTAGCATAAATCATTATATCATAATAATGAAAGTGTCAATGACACTGTAGCTCACCACAAAAAAAGGACACAAATGAGTGAGTGAGAAGTCAGTTTTAATTGAGCAACCATCGACGTACATTATAGAAACGATTGCCATCTGTATAGCGCAATAATAATTTATAAACCAAAATGAATCACAATTTGTGATGGTAGATGGCGCTATACCCGCTTTGATATTTCTTAGCGATGGCATTCGAAATAAATAGGTTAAATGCTGCGTTCCGACATGTTTTGTAAAACTTTACTTTAATATAGACGTTTTATCGGCAGGGTGGAGAGATTCTCCCTCCTCTTCTCTTCACTTACTCCCTCACCTTCTCTTCCACCACGCCCATCACACAATACTAGTACTCTCCCACTATCCCTCTTTCCCATCCCACCTCACCATTCTCCCTTCTGCCCCTTCCCTCCCTGACCAGGCCCCAGCTTCTCCCCATCACTACCTGTCCTCACCACCAAACAGACAACATTCTCCCTTCTTCCCTTCCTCCTCCTTCACCATCTCTTGCACAGCTGGAAGTGACTCACAACAACACGCGATACAACTGGCTTGGCTCTATAACCACAAAACCACGTGACCTAAAATTATGCAAATTATCTGCCTGTACCACCGGCCTGGAAATATAGACACACACGCCATTTGGATTAGCAGTATGGTCCTTTTTGCAATTTGGGTTTCTCCTGTACATCAGAGTTCACACAAACAGTTACCAAATTATGACGAAGTTTAGTATTTATACCCCAGCCAGTTAGACACAAGGGTCGTAAATAGCGTTACTCCCACACTAACACCCAAAAAACAAAATTTCCAATGCTTCTTGTGCACAATAACAGCATACAATATATACTAAAACTGATTTATTAGTAGTAGCTCTAAAAACACTCACGTTTTTTTTTTTTAATATCATATACTTGAGCCAACCTCTCGTAAACCTGCCCCAAGACACAACCACGCCAAAGTAGGACGAGTCAATTCGCCGGTCGGCCTTTTCCTAAATCGAAGAACACTTAGCGACATATGAATAGGCATACATATAATTATCTAACTTTATATTCTAGTGCTCATCTCTGATGTAAATATATAATCTGCTTATCCTCATGTGACACCTAACTACCTCGTCTATGAGCATCAAGTGCAAGCTTTCATATGAAACGCTCCAGTATTAAAATAGTGCTAACATTAATTTTCGTTATAATATAAACACGTACTTGAAGCCATTTACTCTATGAGGGTGATATTCGGAATAGAAATTCAACGGCTCAATGGAAGCAGTCCATTTCACGCAAAGCGCGATCATTAAAACAGTTGGAAACACAGCCTCCACGCAGGTGCGTGCACAGAGCATTGGCGCAAATTTCGAGATACCTTCGTAAGCACAATTCATATTCAGGTAGGCCTGTACTGTCAGTATTTGGACGCATCGCTTGAAACTGAGAACCCTCGCTAAGTGCGCATGCGCGCCATGCTCTTTTGTTTTTCTCCTTGTTTTCTTTTTGTTTGAATCTTGTTTTGCGAGGGCCGGTAGGAAAATAGTAGCATGCTCTTTTGTTTTCCTTTTGTTTCGCCTTGTAACTGAACACAGCATAACACAGTCTTACTAACTCTACAATCATTGCAAATTGTTCAATCAAATATTTTCCATGAGTGACCGTGGCCGCCATGTTTGTTTATTGGCCGACCGGTTTTTCCGATGGGCGAGATGCGCAGATGACTACTGCCATGCTGCGCATCGCCCTTGCTAAACAAGAGGCGCGTGCGGCGCAATGCGCACGTTTTCAGGAGCGTCCAGTTCGGGCGAGCGTCCAAATACTCACGGTAGCAGGCCTACATCCTTAAAAGCAGAGATTTTATTCTCAATAACATTAAAAATTATTTTCCAATATTATTGTCTATAAACAAGTTAATACTAAGATTGCAAGGTCTTGTCATTTTATATAGTGCTAGGCCACAGTTATGGGTCTTTGGAAAGGCAATAAACACACAGGGTTCTCAATCATCCTACTAGTGACAGTCGAAGATGGCGCCTCCCTTCTTGAAGATTGGTATATTTTTATTTCTAGTTACTGAATCAGAGTGACACTTGCAAGGGTGGTAGTGCTTAAAATGATTCACACGCACTTTGAAAATAGATAGTTTCACTCCCAATCTTTTGCTGAGCCAATAGTAATTTTGTTATTTCACGTGCCGCAAACATGGGTTTCAAAAGTCATTTTGATTCTTAAAATCTGTGTGCTTGTGTCACTAGTATAAAGAGGTAAAACATGTTGTGTCCTAGCTAGAGTCTGCATAGGCTTGGCATAATTTTTGGGTAACTCTGGGCCTGAAATTCCTGTTAACGAAGAAGACCAGCTAACAAATGAAATTCTTTGTTGCTTTTCAAGCCTCTCCCACCAAGTCTTGTCTTTTTCTTCGCTGCTGTAGAAATGAAATGTGTGTTATGAATGCTTACTGTTGATGCTCTTAGTGCTGTCCACTGAGCTAAACCTATGTGGCCTTGTAATTTTTAGGCTGCAGGCATGGCACACAAGAAAGTGAAGGCACTGGCACACAATGAAGAGTCACTCCCAGATAATAAAGTCTTTTAAAGGAATTGAAGTCACACGACTGGCCCCACCGTCTATCTTGTACAACGCGAGCGGCACACACAGGCCGACAGCTCAGTCAGTACGTGTAGTGGAATTTCTTTGATAAATTGGTTTGTAATTATGTTCAGCAGGTGTGTAAATGACATAATACAGCCTTTTTTTTAGCATCACCTTGACATCGTCAAGGCCTGAGCTATTGTCATCGGGTCGTCGTTCGTCATACGTAGCGTCCGTACGTCCGTCCGTCAACGAGATTTCGCTACGGTCAACGATAACTCGGGAACGCTGTTTTGACCGCAACATGTTTGAAATTCGGTATAGTTGTTACTGAGCTAATGCTCCCATATTAAATCCCATATTTTGGAGCAACCGCCAGTTTGAACGTACTTTTCGAGCCACGGCACAATTTTTTGGCAAAATGGGAATCTGCCATTAGTGCAGTTCAGGTCAACGGATTTTGCTCATTTTGGTATGTGAGATGAGTTAAGGGCTACGGGTTTTGAATTTAAAAAAAAATATGCAAATTAGGTAAGGTTTTTTGGCAATTATATAGGGCATATTATAATAGACACCGATAACAGATATGAGTCCTGTGGTGTCCACACTCGACTGTTCGTTTTATCGCAGATTTTATTGACAATATCTTTTAAAATCGCAAATTGGATTTCAA